ACTAATACATCATAATTAGTACATATAAGTCATTGTAAAAGTTCGTATATTTTAAGCAGTTGTTCGATGTACTAAAAACAACAATAACTAAAGTGGATAGAATTATAAGCTGCAACGTAGGAAATATGATTCTGTTTGAAGGAATGTCACCAAACAATCTATGGCAGAGAATATTAAATGATACTCTCTCTCCAATTTCAAATACTATTAATCATTTTGACAAATCGAATTTGTCTTTAGTGTTTGGCATTAAAAAGTATAAAGATATTTATTACTCCCAATACATACACCAATTCAATTACTCCCAATACTTACACCAATTAGTAGCTGACGTTACTGTTCTAATTAGTTGAAGGTAAAAGTTTACTTACTCCCAATACTTACACCAATTCAATTAATAATCAAAAGGAGTATTTTCAAATTTTGGATTACTCCTAGAAGATCATGAGAAAAAGAAACACTATACCTAGTGGCGTTTGGACATAAGAATTGTAAAATTTCACACAAAAAAAAAGTGAAATATTTTTTCAAGTTAAAATGGTATTTGAAAATTAGAGTTGTGTTTGGACATGAATATATAATTTTGAGTTGTTTTTGAAGTTTTGTGATTGATCTGAGTGAAAATTTTGAAAAATAACTTTTTGGAGTTTTTCAAATTTTTGAAAAATTCTAAAATTCATCTTCAAGTGAAAATTAAAAATTTTATGACAAAACATTGATTTCGAAAAAAAACTAAAAAAAAGTGAAAAATTCTTATGTCCAAACGGGCTCCTAATATGTAGTTATAGGCAAAGACGACGGACATATTGTACTATACAACATAGAGTGTGAATAAAGTCCTAAGAGTACATTTTAGAAGGGGCAAAAATTACTTTAGCCCACGCCCAAAATTATTTATATTTAATATCCTCAAAAGTATATAAAATTTATATATATTTTTTATATAACATACAAATATATATTTTTGGCTAGTATTTTAAAATGAATATAATCGCAGCCGTAACCATGTTTGTCCTTCTATGCTGTCAAACTTGTCAACTTTTATCTCCCTCCTACATAGCACAAGAAAGAAAAAGGAAAAGAGAAAGAGAATAAAGGACAAAGACAAACTGAAAATTGATGGCACGTTTATATCATTGTGGAAAATTGAATCATGTTGGAGTAATAGACATGTCGACGTAATACCACACTGATTTGTTAGCCATTGGGCCTTAGAAAAATGTGGAAATCTCAAATCATGACAAAATGTTGTGAGGAAGCAAAAACAAAGCAACCAATATGCACTACAATACCAAAACAAAGCAATTTCTTTTATGTTTGAGAAAGAAGAAAATCAATTTTTCCTCGTCTTTTTTTCTTTTTCTTGGTTGATTCATTATTATCTAACGGCCAAATATAATGTAGTTCTGAAAATGCACGGGTAGTTTTTCTACAACAATTTAAAAAAAAAATTATAAATCACATTAACAAGTATCACGTAATTAGAGCGTAAATCAAACTATCCTAAGATAATAAATAAGTAAAACAATACTTAGCTAGCATCTAAATAGTTTCCCACTCCATTATGTGATCTTTTTCTAATCGTAGGCTGTAATGTATCTAGGAGCAATGACAGCCCAAAAGTTTTCTCGTTAGTTGGCATTATTATATTTATTATGATAATTATTGTATAATATATTTTCTTTTCTTTTTGCCTGGCATTTATGGACCACTAACGCATTGTCACATTGATGATTGATTCCATGATTCAGCCTTTTCTTAAATTACTAAACCATTAATTCTCCATTCTCCGATAACAACCTTGCTCGTCATGTTCTGTAAGGTATGACATAATAAATCTCGATAAATCACAGTCACTTTATTGTATTTTAGTTTGGAAATATTTCAGCGCATGATTTTATCTTAACGTTGTTGTAATATAGAGCCCATTTGAATTGGCTTTAAAAGGTGGTTTTTCAACATAAATAATTTTTAAATATCCAACTTATTGCTTTTGGCATGTTTTAAGCAGTTTTTAACTATTTTTTAACTTTACCAAATACTGAAAATAATTAAAAAGAGCTTAAAAGCTAATTTGACCAGCTTAAAAGTCAATCCAAACACTAGTGGTGACTGTGACTGGTGAGTATTCCCGCCTGTCAGCCAAACACTTCATGGTTGATATTGGTATTTTTCTTGTAAAATATTATTCATGAAAAGCAATTTATAAATTAGACTTCATTTCTCATACGAGACGATTTAGGAAGAAGATCAGTGAACACAAAAGGAGATTTCTATTTTCTGTCAAAAGAGAGACTTTTATTGTCTGATAGAATCAGACAAAATAATAACTAAAATTACATTTTTATTCATTTAGGAAATGATAAAGTTATGACTAGAATTTCTAGCTTCTAAAGATGTAAATATTTTCCCAAAGGGTTGATGTTTAAATCTAATTGTAAAATTTTGGGCCATATGATTTGCACATGATAAGATCATTTTGTGTCGTCGTTTACACTTTGACTCGTTAAGAAAAGGCTTGGAAAAATAGTCTTCTGTTAGAATTTTGAAATACGCGAGTTAAGAGTTTTGGAAAACGCTCCTAACACTCGCCAAAATTTATCATATGACGATCACCGAGATTTACCATAGAACCTGACGAATCGCTAAGATTTTTAAGCGTTGTGGCTGAAAATTCAGACGATAACTATAACTATCTGTTAAGGAAAATGCTGGCAATTGCCAAGAGTGCTTCCCAAAATTTTGGCCAGTGTGCTTAAAATTTCTAGCCGAAGGCTAATTTTTTCAAGATTTTTTTAATGTGGTTAGAATTTAAACGGTGGTCTTAAAAAGGTCCAGCCAACATAATTTTTAGCTAAATGAGCTAGTTTCTGAAATTTTTTCTTGAGAAACTTTCATAAATCACTATGTCTTAGTGGTTATTAGCTAGTTGTAGCTACCATTTACTATATTACTTCCTATAGTTATGTTTTCAGGATTTTTAGAGCGTATTCGATGTATTTAAGCTACTATATTCATGAATACAGTAGCATTTCTCGGCGTGAAACATGAGATTACAGCTAGACAGATTATTGTATTCGACTGTATTCACGGCGTGAAACGGGGGATTACAGCTAGATAGATTATTGTATTCAATTGTATTCGACTGTATTCACGATATGTATTTGTGAATACAATAACGTAGATAGCACAACTCATGGTCTATTTAGCTGTTTTTAAATGGAAAGTGAATCAATTAATACAATAGACTCATAATATAACTCAACAAACATAATTATAAATCTGAATACATAAAATACATAAATTATATTAATTAAAAAAAATATATGAATACATTAATGGAAAAAAGACAATGAATACAATAAAATATATAGAAATACAGTGAGATACATTGAAATACATTAAAAAAAAGGTAACATCATCTTCAAGTTGCTCAACCCCAAACTTCAGACGACCTATTTTTCGCCAACGATTTTTCGACGACCCATTGGATTCCTATTGACTACTCGGAAGAACAATCGACGGAAGAACTGATGAGAGCGAATACAGAGGAAGCTCGGAAATCTCCCTCCAAAACCCCATGTTTTCAAGCCCGCCCCTTTTGCTCCTTCTGAGGATCAAAATTCCAATTCCAAATCCAAAAACAAAGATTGGATCGATGACAAAACCCAAGATGAGCTTGACGATCTCGAAGATGACCCCGATCTCAATGACGATCGCTTCCTCCAAGAATACAGGTCCCTTTTTCAATATACACACTTCATATACTCCATTACTTTTTTCAATAAACACACTTCATATAAAAGTCCCAGAAAATTCCTGTTGACTAATCGGAAGAACAATCGACGGAAGAATTGATGAGAGAGAGAATCCATGAGTTTGTAGTCATGGAGAAAACTGGCGGAGAGAGAGGGTGGAGAAAAATCTGAAAGAATAAGAGAGAAAAATAATACAAAATATATTTTATGGTTTAAGAGTAGGAGGTGACTATAAATAGATATTTGGCTATAAAAATCAAAATATAGCTATGGAATATAATTTTTTAAAATGATATTTGTTTAAAATAAATAAGGTATTAACATTTGTCATAGGAGGTAAAAATTCTTTTTTTTCTTCATATGTGGCCCAAACTGTTCGGCCCACAGTTCAAGACATTACTAATGGGCCAAGTTGATATATAAGCCCAGATCAGAATTTGGATCTATTCTCTTTCTCTCTCAAAATCGGTTAGAGTGAAACTATCGCTCAAAATAGAAAATGATTTTCGTGCCAAAATTAATTTCATTTTATCCAATTTATGGGGGTGGCTTGAGGTAGCGAAAAAGGAAAAGAAAGGGCTAAGTAAAAATCAAATCCTGTATCTTCAAGATGTGAGATACGAATTATATGTTGAGCTCTCAATTAATCCTTATAAATTCTTATAATTTTACTTCTTTTATTTTTACAAAGAGCTAGAAGTACTCATAAGATTTTACTACAATTATAATAATTTTGTCTGTTTGATCCAATTATTGTTACAATCATTACATATTTTTATTTGGGGAGTTAGGCAAGTTGTATACACCATTTCTCTTTTTTCCTTTTTCTTTTTAGTTTTTATCTTCAAATTTGAGGAACAAGACGTTCAATTAATTTTGCTCGATTTACATAGATCTTTCTTCAGATGACAAAATTACACGAGCCAATGCAGAACAAATTAGAGGGAAAAGGATGGGAAGGTGAAGAAGAAAAGTCGATTAAAGACGAGAGATACGGTTTGAAAAATATGTAAATAATAATCAATTCTCATAAGATCTAAAGGAAGCCCATAAAGAAGATCTAAGACATCAAATACTAATGCTTCTTACTAAAAAATGGAGTCCGGTGCACGAGGCATACTACATTTACGTACGCAGGGCTCGAGGTAGGCGAGATCGCGCCTCAAAAGGTATGATGTAGACAATCTACCCTAATACAAATATTAGTGGCTGATTTCACAGCTCGATCTCATGACTCGACAATTATATATCTATCATTTTTTCGTGAATATTTATGAGAGATGATGTTATAGCTCCAAAAGAAGGTCTAACAGCAACATCTTCATCCCACGACAGTTGTATGAGTTGTATCAGCTCTTCTAGTTTATCATCTTGCTTTGGAAGTTCTGGCCTTAACCCTTTTTCTGCTACTTCCAATGCAATCTGCTTTACGGAAATCTTTTACACGGTCAATGTACGTAGGGGTGGATCCAGATTATAATATATGGGTTCCCAGGAATCCAATAGTTTTTTCGTAGACCATGTATTTTTGTTAAATTTTTTATTAAATATTTATAAATATCTATTTGTGAACTCAGTTATTATTGTATATTAATTTGAGATTACCACAGGAACCCATAAACTTAAAATCTTGAATCCGTCTCTGAATGTACGTAACTTAATTCAAGGTACTAACTAACATAAGAAGGTGTCACATACGTACCTTAGAAGGACCATAATCAGTTTGAATGTAAGGGTATTCTCCAGTGACAAGCTCATTGAGAATAATCCCAAAACTATACACATCCGACTTTTCATCATAAGGTTCTGATCGAATCACTTCCGGGGCCATGTATACATATGTTCCTGCTATGTCAAAAGTTTGACGTTTATTAATCAAGACTCACTAAACCAAGTAAATAACTATAATACTATATGTAAGCAGTGGCAAAGCCAGAAATTTACTTAAGGGTTCAAACTTGAAAGAAGTGAAGAAATATTCCGAGAAAGAATGTTCAATATATATTATATACCTCTAAAATCTAATATTTTCTCTATATATACAGTGTAATTTTTCAACGAAATGTGGTCAGTTAACCATCCTTTGTAACATGTAGCTTCGCCCATGTATGTAAGGACTATTTTATTAAGAGGAAATAAACCATTGTCAAATAACTTTTGAAAAAAAAGCAGCCTAGTGCACGAATAACATCTCACGTTCACACAGGGTTCGGTAAAGGACCATACCCTAAGGAAGTATGAAGAAGACAATCTATCCTAATACAAGCATCAATGACTGATTCCAAGATTCGAACCTGTGACCTATAAGTCACGCCGAAACTACTTTAACATTGCTCCAAGACTCCCTTTCAACTTTACATTGTCAAATTATTGTTTGTTTTGATGATTGATAAAAAAACTCAAGTATGAACCATGTCCATCGACAATGTACACAGATACGGACAGATTCAAGCACAAGGCATGCACGTGAAGGAGATAAGATTAAATAGTTATATATAATATCTCCCGATCGAAAAGGTTGCATAATTGATAAGGAGAAGGACTCTTTACTCGAGAGAACTCTATCCAAGATAAGGGAAATGTTAGAAGTTGAAGATGACTAGAACTCTTCCATCAAGGAAGAGGAACTCTAGTTATTTCCTATTCTACTAACTCTATATATTTCACGATGTTCTCATTTTACGGGAACACACAAAAAGTTAAACGTGAGTTGAGAGCAAAATACCAAGGCATTTTGGCAATCAATTCGTGTGTGATTCAAGTGTGCAAACCTGAAGCTACATGAACCAGATAGAAGAACTAATTCCAAGTGTCAGTCTTTTATTCTAGTTTCATTGTAGTAGGTGTGTCAAATTGTACCTTTCAGCTTTATCTAGAAGCAATTGTACTAGGTACTCTAAGTATTTTATTCAAGTTAGAGTTAACTTGAAGTTGTCGCAACAGTTAGAGGTTGGTTACCACAACGAGATTAAATTTAATCCTTAGGTTTAATTTACAAAGAGTTTTGTAAATGCTGTTCTGACTCAGTGATTTAGTGAAGTATTAGGAAAAATACTACTAAGTAGTAGGTCGTGATTTTTTCACCTTTTAAACTGGGTGTTTTTCAGGTAAAAATACTTGTGTTTTTTACTTTCTGCATTTACTATTTCCGCAACAGTAGTTTAAGGAACACATAGAAGAAACAGGTCCTTCTATAATCTGTGCATGCAAAAATTGGACACCACACAAATCAACCCTCTTGTGTGGAACTGAAGTATAAAACATCGTAATCAATTTAATTAATTAAAAGAAAGACAAAAACTAGTTTAGACAAATATTCTTTTAATTAAGGCTGTTAAATACCTGTCTCTCCTGTTAAAGCCTTCTCTTCATCATTCAAGAATCTAGCATGGCCAAAATCTGCAACCCTAACATGCAAAGAATCATCCAAGAAAATATTACTTGGTTTTAGGTCACGATGAATCACCATTGGTTTATGCTCATGAAGATATTGCATGGCTTGAGCAATTTCTATTGCTTTATTAAGTCTCTCTTTGAAAAGGGGAAGAGGAATAGCTCTTTGTTTTCTTCTTTTTCCAGGACCATGTAGCCAATCTTTAAGGGTCATGTCTAATAACTCAGTTACGATCCAACCATGGCGTGGAGGATCAAGACATGCCCCCATCAGCTGCAACACGAAACGGTGTCGTTGCCTCGATAATGTCTCGACTTCTTGGGCAAAGAAGCTGACTCCATTTTCATTGCAGAGGAAGAACTCAGGGAATACGCATTTCACTGCAACTTCAAATCCTCTCCATCTTCCTCTGTATATATGTGCTGTGCTTCCTTGAGCCAGTACTTCTTGCAGTTCAATCTATTTCCAACGAACAATTAATACCGTCTTTTGAAATGTTATCAAGACCACAGTTTTAAGGATACTTTTGGTACATGGTAAAGTCTTTCTTTATAGTCAAACACAAATGGAAGGAGTAATAACTATATGTGAAATATTACACTTTCACTCCTCTTCAAATTAGATGATACACTTTCCCTTTTATTCTTTTTTCAAAATAAATAACATATTTTTAAATTTGGAAATAATTCAACTTTAAACTCTTCATTTTACCTATTTTACCCTTAATGGAAAACTTTTATAATCATACAAATGTCATGACCCCATAAAGCTTTTACCCGTTAAGCTTTTAGGACCACAAGTTTCAAAAGTCTTCTTCTTTTTTCTTAAATTCCGTATCGAGTCAAACTACCCCATCTAAATTGAAACGGAGGGAGTAAGTGAAAGAGCTCGATTTACTACTACAACAACAATTCCAGTGCAATCCATAAGTGGGGTCTGTGGAAGAGCTCAGTCTTACTCAGTGGCGTAGCCAAATTTTTTAAAGAAATAAAGAAATAGTATAAAGAAATAAATTCACCAAAAAGTCAAGGGCTGTCATTATATAGTATATATACATATTTTTAAAAAAGTTACCGAGTTAAACAATATAATTTTTCGACGAAAGGGTGTCTGTTGACACTCCTTAGGTGCATGTGGCTCTGCCACTGGTCTTACTACAACAACAACAGCAACAGATCTGTGGAAGAGCTTGATCTTACTATTTAGAGAAAATAATAAAAAGAAGAAAAGAGCGATGTACCTCATGGGGTTGAATATACCAACCATTCAACTTGGCTTGTTGAATGAGGTCTTTGATATCAGAGTGGGATTGCTGTTGGGGTGGTGTTTGGGGACTGGTAGTGGCATTGATGATTGGCAAGGGAGGAGGAGTGCATTCTTGTTGTTTTTCTTTGTTGTTGTTGATGATTAAGTCAAGAAAGCCATTGTCTTGTGCCACCTGAAGACAATATCTCAAATAATTTTGTGTCCTTTCAAGTTTCATCTTGTACATAGTCTTCATTTCTTTCTGCTGCTGTAATTCCTTCTCTGTTTCTTCCACCTTTTCCTAGTATTAATTGTTCATGATTTAAATTTAATGGGTTTAGTTTTTAGATTTTTAGTATTGCACTCATTTTACCATTAAAATTATGAGTTCAAATCTAATATTTAATGAAATTTTAGTAGTTATTTATATATAAATTCATACTCCGAATCGAAAGTTATGGATTCAGTTAAACCTGCTGTCGAAAGGCTACATTTGCCCCTGCCTAGTGATAATATTGGTAACCAAATAGTGGCATAAAAGCCGCATACTTAATTGTAAGCCTGTCTCAATTTCGGTTTGGTTTAGCTGATTGTTTCTTACAAATTGTACAGTGTATGAGCGCATATTCACAGTTTGCGTAGATTAAAGCTGAATTTGAAGTACTAGTCCATAAGTTTTCACTTTATAGGATAATAGTTGAAGAAGATTAACTCATGCATTTACCATATTGCAATGGTACAAAAACCCAAAGGTACCATAATAGGCATAATCTTAGTAATATTGAATAAATTTTTTTTTTACATTATTAGTATATATAACTTAAATTCATCGATAATACCTGCTGAAGATGACGATATGGTGGTGCTTGTGCAAGTTTATTATTATGTGAAACTTTAGGCCCCAAAATTAAACAGTCACCTAGGCCTTTACACCATCCGCCTATGTTCGACTTGACCAGAGCACCACCACTTGTGGCGGAGCTCTGTGTGGCCGGCGAACTCTTGGCTACCATCGGACTACATGGGCTGCCGTTGCCTCTTCTTTTTTGGGCCTTGTCGGAAATAGTACCGTTCATCTTGGATAACATGCGACTCGTATATTGTAATACAATATATTTTTACTTAAGTATAATTTCAGGTTGATTAGTCTAGTTGCCTGAAATATAATGCAGTCTTAGTTAAATGAGCCAATAAATTTAGTAGAGGATGAAGACAGAACGGGCGGACCTTGTGATGAGCCATATTTTCATTGTAATTTGTACATATTAAGTTTGTAAACATGTAAATTTGGTTTCTAAAAAGAATGTTATATTCATTCTAAAGTTAGGTGCGTTATTATTGTCCTACTATGAGTCAGCTATTATTAATTTTGTGACGAACTATGTAAAAGGAATAATTTTACATAGGCATATCCGAAAGTGAGTTTGCCACCGATGACAAATATGTCCTTCTACTTTCGAATATTGTTTATATTTAACCTATGTAATACTATTCGGTCAAATTTACCCTTACCGTTATATTATCTGGCCAAATTTACTCCTACCATCAGTAAACTTTTAAAAATTACCCCTCAATCTATCAGGTGACCTAGAATCTCCCAAATCATTTTAATTAACTCAATTCTTCTTCTTCTTGATCCACTATTTTCGAAATAATTAATATTTATCTGCTTTCTTAATTGAAAAAATAATAGAAAGAAATATTAAAATAATACAACGGTTAGTAAATAAAATATAGTAAATTGAAGAATCTAAATTAGGTAGCTTGTCTAAATTCCAAAAGTATTTACAACATCCCAACTCTAATGAATTCATTGCACCAAAAGTCTGGAGACTTTTCAAGTATTAATGATAGAAGTTGAAGTTCCTTGAAGACTTTACATTGTCGAATTCAACTTTGCTTTAATCAAATGCCTACACATTGTGTATTCTTAAGTTAGTCGATCGAACTCTATATTAACCTCACAATAACAACATATATTTTAATATACATGTACATACATGATGGTCAACTGCATATAATACACAATAAATAGACTCACTGAATTCTATGATGTGTATATAGTTGAAAAATAAATAAAATTTTAATTAACCAATTCAAAACCCAATATCACAAGAATAGAAGTGAGTGCATTGGTAATTAAAAATATCCATGAATAATTTGTATAGTCCAGTACCTTTAGCATTCACATCAATAGTAATTTCTGAAAATAGTGGAGCAAGAAAAACAATAAGCGATTTAAATAAAAGGAAATTGGGAGATTTTGGATTACTTAACATATCAAAGGGGTAATTTTTAAAAATTTTGTGATGGTAGGGTAAATTTGGTCAGATAGTATAACAATAGGAGTAAATTTGACCGAATAGTATAACGGAGGTTAAATGTAGACAATATCCGAAAGTAAAGTGGTATATTTGGCCCTTTTCCCTTTATTTTATTCTTTTTAGATTCATAATTAACCTATTGGGAGCTTTTAAGTTTTTTGAACTTTCTATGGACTTATTCGTATGTGCCTTGGTAGTAATTTTCCCTTGTACGATATTCTCGAGGATTTTCATATATGAACAGAATGTTAGATGAAACCTATAGAAAAACAACTATATTCTGGAGGCTTCCGAAAGACTAATTGAATAATACTATGTTGATCAATTTTGATCGTCTTATCATTTGTCAAACTGTATCTAATTCACTGACATTTAGATCTATGAAAATGAATCATTTTATAATGTTTATTGTAGTTGAATGAGTAGAAAACCTAATGCTGTATTTTGTCCCGGGCCCGGGCCTTAGTGGGCCTAACGGGCCGGGCCTCGCGGTCCCGGGCTTCGTGGTCCCGGGCTCTGGCGGTCCCGGTCTTCGTGGGCTCAATGGGTGGAACCGGCCCGTGACGGGCCTAAGCCCACATGGCCCTGTGCTTAACGTGCCGGGCTCGTGGGCTTCGCGGGCCTAGCGGGCTTTTTTTTTTTTTT